TTCTTTGTAGGAAACAAAGACATTTTGAAACTCAGCCTCCGAGACATTGCAGTATCTTTAGTCGGTATTTGAAGACTCTTGTGTTGTGAAATATTTCTTATTTGTTATTCTTGGCAGTTTTGGTGAGGCTTGTGCTTATCAAAGTTAATTAGTTTGCAGCAGCCTTTTAACCAGGGATTCATAAGAACCATTAAAAAGGTTTCTGTTCCCTTTGGTTCGTGTTTGTTTTATTGGAAAAGGGTTTGGGTCAGAACATATAGTTCCTTATATATGACTATACTAGTTTCAAAAAGCTTTTTTATAAACACATTTAACATTTACTGATCGTGTTTTCCCCAAGCACTAAGTGGTTTGTGTTTTTTATGACTTATTTTCTACTTCATTAGAAAGACAAACAAAAAGACAGATACTCTAAGTTCCTATTTTGTCTTGTCAGTATTTCAGCAATAACACTATGTCAAAAATACATTCTATTTTATTTAAGTATATCTTCTCTTGCTACTAAACTACTGAACAGAACCAAGGATAAATCTTTTAACAAAAAATTATTAAAAGCCTGATTACTAAAGGAAGTGTTTGTGAATTATGAGTCTGACAATTAGTTACCTAAAGAGTATATGAACTAGTATTTATGATTTTATGAAATTAATTAGAATGTTTATAACTCATAATTTGCACTATTTTTATGTGCTATATGATTCATTGTACCTGTAAGGTGTTTAGATTTTCTCAAATGAAGTGACACAAAAAATTACTTGTGATCAATGAATGAATGAACAATGCATGCATGCATATGTATTTTATTTTGAATCACAGCCAAGGAATCTCAATCTCTCCCCACACACACACCACACACACACACACACACACACACACATATATATATATATATATATATATACACATACATACATACATACATACATACATACATACATACATACGGAGTCCTTTCACAAATTTATCTTCACTAACAGAAAGACGGAATATTTCTAGCTGTGTTTTTTCTCCCCATAGTTGAATTGGTGAAGAAGTAAATTAGGAGCATAAAATTTGTGATCTAAAAGTCCCTAAAGACTTTGAAGTGGTACTTAAAGATTCTCCAAAACCTATTACCAATTGACAACATTTGTGTGATGGAAGAGAAAAACATGAAGAGAACATGCACAAAGCATAAGTGCATTGCCTGTATTTACTTTTAATTAACTTTAAATAAGTTAAATTTCACTTTTGTCTTCAGTCTGCTTTTTGTTTGTCTTAACCCCTAAGACATACTACTCAAAGTTTAAATGTGACCCTCAGCCTCAGAAAAGTAACAGCATAACCGAAGTCTACAGTTCTCACTTGGTCCTTATAATTACATAACCCACAAAAACAGAGGCTGGGAAATTATCTTATCTGCATGTCTAGCTTGGCTTTAGGATTAGATTACATCAAATTACATGAGATCTTGCAACCATTCACCTTCTAGTTCCCAGGGTCATTTTTAACCCAAGCTAAATTTAGAGGTCAGGATTTGTTCTTTAACTATGCAAAGACAAGCAACACTCCCAAAATTCAACATCAACATAGCTTCTGTGTTGCCTGATGTTATGCCAAGAAAATAGATTGAATGAGGTGAAGTAATTTAGGCATGGTGTTTTCAAAGAACCAAGTAGCCTATGACATGTTGTTGTAAATTGTGACTAAGCAGCTGTCTGAAGAATTTTTGAAAGGAATTTCCATAGAAGGCTTGATCTAAATATATTTAAGTCTGTAAGTCTTGTAGCTTTACACAACTTAATTGCTTAGGTGATGCTATGCATATAGAATAACTTGGCATATCTCCATACTCTGAAGTTTATGTAGTTATAATTAAAGGCAAATTGCTTTAATAAATAATACCTTCATAGAGTCTGTTAATCTAGAAGGCTCCTGCCTTATCAATCTAGCATGTGGCTTCTATTTACTTGGCAAGAAAATATTTCACAGCCCTAATTCTCAAAAGAAGCCTGGATATCTATGAGAATTTTTCATCATTATCATTCCAATCTTTCCAATTCTTACATTAATAAATATGCTGCAGTTAATTAGTAGTGGATTAGTAGTGGACTTCTTTAAACAATATGTTTTATTTAGAACCAGAGATCATCATAATGTGGAATGCGCAAAATAATTTTCTAGGGTGTCTCTGAGCAAATTCGGAACTGAACTGCATCAGTTTAGTAGCAGAAGTCTATTCATTTTCTTCCTTACCAAAAATATTAAATATCCTGGTTTCCATAATTTCAGCTTCCTAATTTGGGGATTGAGAGAGAAATTTGCTGTTATTATTATGAAATCAGTGCCAGATGAGAAACGCATACCCAACATCAGAAATCTATCTCCTGCTTACAGGGAAACTAACAGGCTGACTCCGACAAAGGCTAATTGTTTTTTCACATTTTCTTCAAGAAAACATCTCTCCTGCAAACTGACTATGGTGAGCAACAGATATTCTCTTTTACAGATCACCACTGACTTTATCCTGTACCCACAACTTGTAATATTTCTAGTGAGATAAACTTCTCCAACAATTTTTTAAAGCAAAAAACCTTCACGTTTAAAATTTATTAAAATGCAACTTTGTACAGTATAATTTGCTATACTTAGGTATCTGTTTAAAAAAGTCTCTAATCCTAACCCTTAAAAGAACATATCAGTGCTAAAAGACCCCAAAGGAATTTTTTTCTTAAGCTTCTTAACCGTTATTTGTACCCAACTATTGTTTTGTGTTATCTATCAACCAAAGTAGAAGGAACAGCGTATTTATGTCATTTTCTGCTGGAAGAAATGAATGTACTTATGCTGGTATTAAAAGCAGAAAATTCCAGTGATAGACATGAAAATGAATACAGGTAAGAAACCTGTTGCCTAAGCATTTCAATTAGAACTTAACAAGTTATTTATTGCTATCTGTTCTCCTGGCAATAACTATTTACAAATCCATATTCAAAAGACATAGTATTCAGAAAAAAGTAGCTTTGTGGCAAAACTTTACACGGTGAATAACAACTGAATGTAACATGCAGAGTTCATGAAAAAGCGGGTTTCACTAAGTAAACAGCCCAATAATTAGATCTGATTTACACCCGATACACGATCAACACAAGAAACAGAAATTGGGGAAGCTCAACAAGAGGAGTACTTGCATTACTTGGGCTGAAGAAAGAGTACAAAAAACCGAACCACTGATTTCACCTATAAGCCGTTTTATATTTAATAAACACTGGGATTCTTTCACAATGGCTTATGCGCTTTTCTACAACAAAAATATTTATCCGTGCTTTTCTGTCTTTTCTTGCCATTTCATTCTTAGCCAATGAAAAAAGTGTGATAGTTTGCTTTCTGTAGAACTACCAATACCAAACTTTTAAGGACCAAATGAATTAAGCTTTTTAACAACCTTGTTTTCTATGAGTAAGACAGTATACATCTTTACTGTATATTGGAACATTCAGCTAGACTCCGACCAAAGTAATAAAATATACGCCGAGTTTGACAGCGTTCATGAGAACAAAAGCGCAGGTCCTACACCTGTTACAGAAGGATCACAAGCACTATATAAGGTGAGAAAGAAATTCACACTCGAATATTAAGTCTCTTGAAATCAAATGTGCCCTGTTGCTGTTAAGCCTTCCAGAAAGTAAGATGCAAAAAGCCTCCTCTTAGAAAACTAACTCTCATCTTTGTTTTAATTGCCCTCAACAAGATAATGGTAAAGAGACAAAAAAAAAATCTCTTTTAATTTTTGAGTCTTTTTTGTCTAACTTCAATCACTCTTCTGTCTTCTCCTTACCCCATTATCCATTTATTTTTTTTCTATTGGCCTTTTCAGACTATAAGAGTGTCTGTTGGGACCAGTAATGTCTTTTTTGCTTATGCAAAGGGATAAAATTTCAAATGCATTAACAGCAGAGCATGCACCTATTAATTGATCATTATGCTGTAGAAAAAAAAAATGTGAATCCAGCAGATTCATCATATGAAGAAGGGTCTGTGAAACAGCATCTAGTTGATGGTTGAAAACTGTAAAAATATTTCAAGCCAAAGAATAAACACTATTGGTATATCGGCCACTTTGGTGGAGTCGTTTATTTCCCCAATTCCAAATTTCATTTACCCCTTTATGCTTCCCCCACCTCTCCAGTACACATCCACACAAGCACACATACTGTGCATGTTTTTCTTCAGCGGCTTGTCTAAATCCACATAAATGCACGAGTCGCTTGTTGCTATGGGTAACTTGACAGGAACCAATGCTCTAGCTTTTCCAATGTTACAGTGCAGGGTGGAGGGGGGGGAATTAGCAAGCTCCATCTTCTTGCTCCTTTCCCAACTTTAAACCCAGCAGCACCTACACTTCCCATTTTACCTCCTCTCTGCCCATTTGCCAGCATGAAGGCTCGCCCTCCACTCAAAGCCTCATGGCTCTCACCCCACACAACAAGTAGTTTATGTTCTGACCCACAGCCTGAATCGGCCGCATTAAACTATTTGGAACTGAGGGACACAAGATGCGGCCTTAGGATGCCGGAGCCACCTTTAAATGGTGCCACCCGTCCTGCTCGCAGGAAATCTAACTGGATACTCAGAATTGTTCAATATTCCGCATGCCAACCCTATGCTCTCTGGCTGGGCTTGCAGGCAAAGGACAATCCGGCTCTGGCCCCAAAGCAGGTGAAACTTGGCCGGGCTCCGCGCAATCTCTTCTTTGATGCTGGTTAACACACTTCCCACACACCCCGATGCCCTCGCCCCCTTTTCCCGGGGCAGCGCGCCCGCTGACTAAACGCATCTCCCGGCACATGGTGCAGTGCCAGCCCATCCATCAGCTCTGCCCGTCGCATCGCGCCCCTCGCTCTCCAACCCCGTGGAAGGGGAAAGTAAAGCTGGAAGGGGTGGGAAGGAAAGGAGAGAGGGAGGCAGAGAAGGACGGGGGGGGGAGGGAAAGGGTAGGTGGCAGAGCTCCGCAAACTTACGTCGTCCCACTTGACGAAGGTGGAGCCCTTCTTGAGGCTGGCCGAAACCCGGACCGGCTGGAGCTGGAGAGCGTGGACTCCTGGCTGTGGCCCAGCCATTGGCGGCAGCACATCGAGGCTTTCCCACCCGGAGAAGGGAAGAAAAAAAAGGGCAGGCGGGAAAGGCGCGAGAGCCTTGTCGCAGGAGCCGCCCGGATCGCTTAGACCGGAGGGGAAAAGGGATGAGAAGCAGCTGCAGCTGCTACTCGTGCCAAGCGCTTCTCGCAAGGCAAGGGCGAGCCAGACGCGTGCCTACAGCAAAGAGTACATCCTATATAGAAATACAGAAGGGGGAACGCACGCCTGCAAGCATGCATGCATGCATTCATGCATGCAGCCCCCTACATGCACACACACACACAGGCGCGCGCGCCGCCAAGGCGCTCCTCGCTGCTCTGGCAAATGCAAACCGCGCTGCCGCCCTCTTCCTCCTTCCACGGTTTTCTCTCTCTCTCTCTCTTTCTCTCTCTCTCTCTCTCTCCCCCAACTTTTCTCCGCGCTCAGGGCGCAAGCGAGCGACTCAAGCGGGCAGCACCACCTGCTGGCCGAGGGCGCCGCCTCTGCAGAGCATGCGCCCTCCTTGAAGCCCGCCGCCTTCAATGGACCGGCCTTTTCCCGACAGTGTGCCTAAGCTAGTAGGGACCCGCCCGCGGGCCGCCTCACCGCCTTATGGGAAGCCTGGCTTTTTTTTTAAGGGTGGAGAGCCCCGGAATAGACGAAAACCAGCGGCTCGTATAGCAAACGATTTTTCTCTTCGTTCAAGGAGATCGGTTTAGGAAACCGGTGTCCCGCTTTTCTCCTCAGAGTTCCTGTTTGCCCTACCGATCTCGTTTGCAAGAGCCGCGCGATGCCAAAAATTGTGGGTTTTTTTTTTTAATTTAAGCGCATTATGTGATCATTTCAAGTCACGAGTTGCTTTCTTTCTCTCTCTCTCTCTCCCCCCCCCCCCCCCCCCCCCCCCCCCCC